TGACTACCCATGAACCTCCAAGTAACCCGTCTGTCTTCGCCCAGCCCCAACCCGAAACACAAATCAGTCTCATTTACACCTTCGAGGGCGAGTAGGGACCTGCCCCTTTGACAGAGACTCTTCGACCAAAAAGTTATTTTTTTGGGGGTGGGGGGTTTAGGGTTTAGGGTTTCAGGGTTTAAGGTTTAGGGTAATCTTGTCTTTTCCAACCGCAGGTACAGTGGGTTAAGGGCCTCTAGGGCCGTCGGCATAGGCGTTTGTGCAGTTGATGTTCAGGGTATTCGGAGATCAGAGGCTGCTGGGACCCCTCGGAGTGATCCAAAAGGAAGCTGTCGATCAAGCTCTGCACACATTGGAGTTTAGGGTTTAGGGGTTAGGGTTCAGGGTTTAGGGTTTAGGGGTTGGGGTTTATTACTAGGATCCCGAAGAGAAAACCCACGCACTGGCCCCGCATCAACAATCTCAGGGTCGAGCTTACATGTCTCCTAAACCCCACACACCCTGAACCCAAGCTTGAAACCCTAAACCCTGTAAACCCTGAACCCTAAACCCCCAAAAAAATCCTAAACCCTCAACCCTAAACCCTAAACCCCCAAAAAAATCCTAAACCCTCAACCCTAAACCCTAAACCCCAAAAAATCCTACCGGACACCGATCTGGAAGCCCGAGGCTCTGAATGCGAAGCCGTAAGAGCCAGACCCTTCTCCGAAGGAACCCCTAAGAATCCTACACCCCCAAGTTCCCCGTTAACCCCTTAACAATAACGGTACCCTTTTTCCATAGTATTCGGCTTTCATAAGGAGACCCCCCAAATAAAAAGGGCAAAAGGGTACTACCAAGAATCCTTCACCCTATCTAGACCATACCTGGAGCTACCATAACCCCTGTCTAGGGTTTAGGGTTTAGTTAGGGTTAAATCTCAATAGAGATTTGTAAAGGGGCTCTACAAAAAACCGTAGGATTTGGCGGGTTAGGGTAGCAAAGGTGTAGAAGTGTGATGCCTCTTCTGGCATGCCTTGCGCAGCTCGTGCCGGCTGACAGTACCACTTCCGTCCTCGCTGGCTTCGCTGCGGGTTGGGACTCAGGGCTTGGGGCTACTTAGTTGCTGAGTACAGAAGCCAAAAACAAGCACACTTTCAGTTTCATAAGGAGTCATACGGTTGATGATAGAAATCCTGCATTACCTTAAGGATCCTAAACTATGGGAATTATGGTATATTCCTTCTTATGGGTACTGCAGGATTTATAACATCAACCGTATTATCCCAAGACGTGTAAGGTGTACTCATTCGGCTACTAGGGTTGGGAGCCTCAGGTCTGGTCTTCGTATGGCCTTTGTAAGTAGAAATCTGCTTTGGGGTATTTATCGTAGCAATCATGTTAGAAGGAAGGTTAAGGAACCTTATAAGCAATACGCAACTGGTTGTCAGGCCTCTCTATATCCGTATCTATGTCTATATCTATATCTTTATCTATATCTATATATATATATATCTATATCTATATCTATATCTATATCTATATCTATATCTATATATATATATATTTATTTATTTATCTATGTATTTATTTATTTATTCGTGGTTCTAGATTTCTAGATTAACCCTAAACCTTTAACAACTTTTCTGGGCCCGCTGGGGGTACCCAGCCCTTTCGCGTTTGGGGTCCGAGAACTTGAAGCTTAGGTTTGAGGGTCGAGGGTTAGGATCTAGCCGTGTGAGTGTTGAAAGAAACTGCACAGTGCAGTTTAGGGTTTAGGGTTTAGGATAGTAGCTATTTCTGACAGTTGGGGGATTCACGGTTCGAGGCCCAGGTAGAAAAAGTACATGTACTTGCCTGGTGTGTCTGGGAAGTCTCGACAGAATATTGCAAACCACTCTAAGCCATAAGCACTGGCAAACCCCGTATGAAGCCTTATGCCAAGCCCTAGAAAAGTCCTTGAGCTTTAGCAACTCTATGAAACCGCGAACCCTGAACGACTCCTCAAAGCGTCCTTGATGAATCCTTTGATCCCGAATTATACACCTAGGAGTTAGGCCTAGGGGGACCCTTGAAGATATAGACCCTCTCAGGAAGCTCCCTTTTGGCCTACAACCCTAGACTAGACTGACATCCAAACCCCCAACGTCCTAAACCAGACACCCATCCTGCCCCTTCTAGAATTCCTCAAAGAACCTTACTCGGCCCTTCTTCAGACACCCCATCAACCCTAAACCCTAAACCCTATCAACCTTATCAACCCTAAACCCTAAACCGTACCAACCCTACCCACCCTATCAACCCTATCAACCCTAAACCCTAAACCCCAACAAATCCTAAACCCTACCAGCCAGCCCTAAACCCTAAATCCAGAACCCTAAACCCTAAACCCTATCAACTCTAAACCCCCAAAATCCTAAACCCTCCCAACCCTATCAACCCTACACCCCCCAAAACCCTAAATCCTATCAGCCCTAAACCCTAAACGCCAAAAACCCTAACCCCTAAACCAAAGGAATCCTAAACCCTATCGGCCCCAAACCCTATCAACCCTAAACCTAATCAACTCTAACAACCCTAAACCCTAACCCAACGAAACCCCAAACCCTATCAGCCCTGTCAACCTTATCAATCCTAAACCCTATCAACCCTATCAGCCCTATCAACCCTATCAACCTTATCAATCCAACACCCTTGCAGCCCTAAACCCTAAATCCAGAACCCCAAACACCAAACCCTATCAACCCTATCAACCCTTATCCCTAAACCCCAAAAAACCAAACCCTATCAACCCTATCAACCCTAAACCCCAAAAGCCCTATCAACCCTATCAAACCCTATCAACCCTATCAAGCTTATCAATCCTAAACCCTAACCCCAAAAAATCTTAAGCCCTAAACCCCAAACCCTATCAACCTTACCAACCCTAAACCCTAAACCCCAAAAACCCTTAAAATCCTAAGCCCCAGCCGAGAGCCAGGCCGAGTCCAACGCCGCGAAAGCGCGGCCCACGGATCCGAAGAAGCGCTCGGCCCAGGCCTGGGATCTTCTGACTTAAAAGGGACCCTAAAAGGGATCCTAAGGGTTTTAGGGTTTTAGGGTTTAGGGTTTAGGGGTTAGGTTTTGGGTGTAGGGGTTTGGGGTTTTTTTGCTGGGATCTTTTTCTTAAAAGGACCCTAAAAGGGGGAGAACTACCCCTATACTGCAAGACGTGGGCATCTTTTTCTTAGGTTTGTGTTGAAGGGGGGTGTAGGGTTTTAGGCCCATGCCTGGGATCTTTCTCTTAGGTTTTTGTTGGGGGCTGTATGGTTTTAGGGTTTTAGGGTGTAGGGGTTTGGGGTGTAAATTTGGGTTTTAGGGTTTAGGGTTTGGGGTTTTAGGGTGTGGGGTTTAGGGGTTCGGGGGGGTTTCGGGGTTTAGGGGTCTCGGGGTTTCGGGGTTTAGGGATTTAGGGTGTCGGGTTTAGGGTTTGGGGTTTCCGGGTTTAGGGCTGAAGGTCTGGAGTTCTCGAGGTTGAGGGTGAGGGTTTCCTCTGGAAGTCGTGGCTTTTCGAGCCCAAAGGGTGCTTTTGTACTGTTATGGGGGTCACTTCCCTGAATCATAGTAGTAATTCCTATTGCAGAAACCCTACATTCTACTTTGTAGGTACATAGGACCCTTTGGGGTAGTGCTGCCATAACTGTTTGCTATTCGTCTACGGGATTTCAGCCTTTAGCTGCTCCATAAGGCTCTTTAGCGGCACTTTTTTTGCATGGTTCCATAGGTATGTGTACCGTCCCTTTAAGATCGCCTTTGAAGGCTTTTGGGGGGAGTCCTGAGTTTATTGGTGTTCTGAGTCTTGTGTGGTATCCCCGCATGGGTCAGTGTGTCTAGGGTTTAGGGATCCGCATTGAAACCGAACTCCAGAACCGAGATCGGAAGGCCTCGTGCTCCGAAACCCCGAAGCCTGACAAACCGCCCACAAACCCCAGAAAAAAAAAAAAAAACGAAGAGGCACCTGTAACACCCTAAGCCCTCAACCTTGCAACACACCACGTCGAAATCCCGAAAAACGAAGAAGCACTTGTAACACCTTGAGGCCTCAACCTTACACAACCCCCATAACCCTAAACCCTAAACCTAAACCCCCAAATCCTAAACCCTAAACCCTAACACTTGTAACACCTGAAGGCCTCAACCTTGCAAGACACTACATCGAAATCCCCATGCCCGACGAACTTCGAGCAGCCCCTCATACGGCCGGGAAGCTTTAAAGGAGTGGAGCAGATCAGCCGAAACTCGGTCGTACCTGGGAGGTACGGTTCAGGGTTTAGGGTTGTCAGAGGTTGAGTTGTTAAGTTTAAGTGCTTAGGGGTTTAGGGGTCGAGTTGTTTTGGGGTTTACCTAAACCCCTAAAATAGTGGCCCCAAACCCATAAAGGGCTATTATTCTGCATACTGTTGGGCTCCAGGTAGGTGTTTCGGGGTTCAGGGGAGCAAAGGACTGCTGACAAGACCATGACCTGCTACAATTCAGTGGCCATCCTCCTCTTGGCTCCAACCCGGGAGCCTGATTAAGAAATCCTACAGCCTCAATGTCAAAATGTTAGGATCCATATAAGGGTTTAGGGTTTAGGGTTTAGGGTTTATAGGGCTTAGGGTTTAGGGTTTAGGGTTTGGAGCCCTACTAAGGACAAGAAGGTTTCTGAATCAGGCTCTTATATGTTAGAAGAATCAGAACCACCCGCAGTTGATGAGTACTCCAAAGCCCGTGGCCACAACGAGCCAAATGAAAGCTTGCCTCAAGGAAGGGGGATCTACATGGTGATGCCCGGAGGCGTGCAGCAATAAGCACAGATCTTCAGAACTCTGCAATATCTTTTAATGCATGCTGGCTCAGCTGCATGACCCTCTGTTCGAAGCACCAGGGGCTGTCAACTGAAGTACTCATACAGTCTCATCTCACTCCGTTGTCTTGCTCGATTCCTGGCATGGAGATGATGCCAAAGGCGGTACTGGCGCAGATCTGCCTCTCCCTGCTAGTCACTGGCCTCTTGTTGATGTGTGCAATCTTGCCGTAGTCACACGCAGTGGAGGCTGCATTGAGCCCATGATGCGGCCAACTGATTGCCCTATGTCCATGACGCAAAGCACCTTCCCAGCTTCCTTGCTGAAGTGGGCCATGCCAATTGTTGGGATCTGCTGTTGCTCCAATTCACTGCAGAGTGCTCCAACCGCATTCGAGCTCACTCCCGCCAAAAACATGGCGGAGTTGTGCGGTACCAGCATCAGCATCACCATCGTCACGCCCGTCCCCAGCAGAATCTCGGCATCCTTCTTTGCAGGCGCCTCTTTGTAAGGTGTCATCGCCGTGCCTGTCCTAGCCAGCACACCTTTGGTGGCGCTTCAAGCCAGCCGGCAAGGAGCCGAAAACACTGCTTTGTAGATGTTGCAGGAATTCGGCAACAACCTCTTTCAAAAGCAAGCAGCAGTAAGCCTGAACATGTTCAGACTCTGTGGCATTTCTCAACCAAGCTGCAAGGCATGTAGCAAGTTTGATCACGTGCAGTTCTTACTACAGAACTCGAACAAAATTGATCTTGCGCGCTTCCACGGCGGTAGTGGCCGTCTGTTGCAGACCGGTTGTCCCAGAAAGGAAACGCAGCGCTGCATCATGCTGCATCTTGACACTCGCTCCACAAACGTGCGAAGACATCAGAAATGGAAGACGAATCAGAAACCGGCCAGAGGTTTCCTTAAACACAACACCCGTGTTGATGAAACAGGCACTTGCTAGACAACTTGGCCACCACCGGCTGGGCGTCTTGTGACAGTCGTATGCTCCCTCATGCCTCGGCAGAGCAGCAAAATCATCAGAGGGCAACATGTTTGCCCCTTCGTAAGGCCAGTCTTCCACTTTCCAAAGGCTGTCTTGCAAGCAGCTTCCAGATTGGTTCCAGCTGCTGCCTTGCCGTGAGTGTTGCCCTCGTAACAAGCGACTACCACCAAGATTCTGAGCTGGTGCAGTTCTGATCCAGACGCATCCGTAGAACGCGGCGCCGTCTACAACTTACCTCAAACCGCCCTGAGTCGCCGCTGCCATGACCACAGGATTAATACCATCAACAGTACGAAGCTCCCCATCAGCCATCCGGATCTTCCGTCGCCCCGTCCTTGTCGCCGTGAATCGGGCCCAAAAGGCGTGCCACTTCCAAGTGAGTACTCCGACACGCAGCCTCAGCACAGCAACAAAAGCTGTTAGAGTTCCTACAAGCTTTGGGGTCTTGGGTTTACCTGGACGCTTAGGAACCTCCCTTTCTAGGGTTCCTTACTATGATTTCCTTATATGATTTCCTTATATGATATAAATCCGTAAAGCGGTAGGTTCCTTGGGGTCTAGGTAGGGTTTAGCCCAGCCGGCAAGGAGCAAGGAATGGGGTGATGCCATGGTCCGTGGCCTTGTTCCTGTCTGCGCCCGCTTCCAGTAGCAGCTGGACCACCTCCACCCTTCCTGCCTGGATCTTGCTTGGAGGTTCATGGGTAGTTAAAAGTGGGGTGAAAAGTCCCCTAATATGGGTTATAACTATAGTTGACCCTACTTTTAACCCCACTTATAACTACCCATGAACCTTCAAGTGGGCTTACGACAACTTAAAGGGCCCACTTGAGATGACATCACATTAAGAACCGAGTTAACCATACAAGCCGAAACCCTGAACCCTAGAAGCCTGAAGCCCCTAATCCGCAAGCCCTAAACCACCATGAAAGCCCGGAATCCGGCACGCTAAGCAGCCTGCAAGGCCCGTTCTTTCAGTCACGCGCCTGGCATGCAAGCAGCAAAGCGGTCGCGCCCGTGTTTGTGCACCGATCCTCTGCGATGTCCCGAACCCAAAGCCGTCCAACTGAAGACCGAAACCTTAAACTTACATCAACTAGGTTCCCCACAAACCCCTTAATAATAAGGGTATCCTTTTTCCTAATGTTCGGCTTTACGAAACTTTAAACTTATATCAAAGTCGAAACTCTACTCCCGCAGCGCGAAAGTGTGAAATCTCAACATGCCATGGACGAACATAGGGATTTGGCTGTCCAGGCTTTGTCGTGCATTGGTCTTCTGGTTAGCAGCATTCATGTCAGTTTCTTTGCAGATATGCATGGCCAAGCGGTATCTTGGAGAAGCATCCCTGGCCTAAACCCTAAACCCTAAACCCTACATCCCTCAAGAATCCCCGAAAGGGGCTTAGACTAAGGGGCTTCGGGAGAAGAAGGGGCTTGGGGAGAAGAATCGACAGAAACCGAGATGTTCCCCAGACTGCGTGCCCAAGGGTCCATGTACTTCTACGTCCGGAGGGTGGGGGGCCTGAATCATAATGGCAAGTCTAAATGTAGAAGCCTTACACTCTACTATAGGTACGAAGGACCCTATGGGATCGAATAGGATCCCAAGTATCTAGAAGCAGCGGTTGCTTGGTGGGGACACCTTAGAATACCTCTATTTAGATATCGATGTACTGCATGGCCAAAAAAGGGAAATGCACGAGAAACTTGCAAAAGGAATCACGCAGGCGCAGGGGACCACCTTCTACCGGGCCTGAATTGCACGTCGTCCCGATGTAGTTCGGCTATACTCGAACAATTTGCAATTCCCTAAACCCTAAACCCAACTGCGTCCTTGTCTGCACCAGCAAGTAGCAGCAGCTGCACGACGTTCGTGTGTCCGAGGCTTGCTGCGACCAGAAGTGGTGTGCGGCCGTCACTGTTGTAGCCCTCGTCCGGGGCTAAGTTGAAGGATGATAATCCGAGTACCCTAGTAACATGAAATGAATACTGAATACTGAATGTAACAATGAAATAACACAGTAACGTTATAATAATCATCATAGATACATGACGATATGGCGAATAGTTACGTATAGTACGGTGAGTGAAGGTTTCGGAGATGGGGCTTCAGGGAGAACAAGGGCTTGTAAAAGCATCTGGTAACTAACAGAGCTGTTCTAAACCCTAAACCCTAAACCCAAGACTGCCGTTGAGGCGCTTCAGTGTCTGGTTCGACTGAAAAGTGTGTGCACTCCCCCTCCATCGGACAACCCGCATCTAGGCTCTTCAGTAACCCCCTGGAAAAAGTATATACTGTTTTAGGCTAGTTGTAACATACTAGGAATCCAGGAACCCAAAAAGTAAAAAAGTATGCTACTGAGCAGCCTACCTACAGTCTCCATTGTAGTTCCTTTTTTGGTTTAACAAATTTAATATCAAGGATCCTAAAAAGTAACCCCAAATAGGAACTACAATGGAGACTATAGGTAGGCATTCAAAACCGAGCAGGAGGCCGGGCTGATGGCAAAGAAAACACTCCAAAAGAGCCAAGGATGAAGCAGTCTGCTTGAAAGGAGACGCTAAACCCCCAGACAAAAATAGCAATGCTTGCCTGCGCAAGTTTGTTTGAAGACCTAGAGGTTAACCTTTAAGATTTTGTAGGAATGAAGTACCCTAAAATAAAACCGCCCCGGGGATTCCTGCTCAGGTCGGATTAGGGTTTAGGGTTTGCAGCAGGGTTTAGGATTTAGGGCTTAGGGTTTAGGGTTTAGGGTTTATAGTCCCTAAAGCTCATAATCCTGGCAAACGCGGGCTCTCAAACCTGTAGGGAACGTCTTGCCACCTGAGCAGCCCTCATTACTTTCACCTCCTTGCCCTACATCTTTAACCCCAAACGCACACCCAAAAACCTCAAAACAACAGTACGCATCTTCTGACCTCTTGTGATAGAAACGTTTTGAAGCCCTCAAAACATCTTAAAAGCCACACCTTGTCATGGTCCGCGCGAGCATCCAGCAGCAGCTGGACAATCTCGATGCTGCCAACCTGAAACTTTAGGGCAAGAGATATAACCCTAAACCCTAAACTCAAACCCTAAACCCTAAACTTAAACCCAAACCCCCAATACCCTAAGCCCCAAGACCTAAACCCTAAACCCAAACCCCCTAAAGCCTAAGCCCCAAAACAGATCCACCCTAAACCCCCGGCAGCCTAAACCGACCCCGAAGGCCCCATGAACCTTAAAGCTCGGGCTCTTTTGACCTAAAAACCGGGCTTCGGAATCTAAGGGTTTAGGGTTTAGGGTTTTTAATTTTAGGGTCTTTAGGGTTTTCAGGGTTTTTGGGGTTTAGGGTTTAGGGTTTATGGTAGGCTCCCCAGTAACCCCTTAATCATTAATAAGGAGACCCCCAAAGAAAAAGGGCAAAAGGGTACTACTGGGGAAGCTGGTTGAAGGAGTTGTTATCTTTTATCGGCTGTTGAGGTTCATCAGCCGGATCGAACAAAGGGGCCTTCATCATTGCAAGAGAGCTCTGGACCAGATAATCCCTAAGGGTCCATGTACCCAAATATTATATACTCTGGGCCCAATGTACCCAGAAAGGGACTACTTTAAGGTCAATGTATATACTATATGAGTACATGGACCCTCAGGGAATGGGAAACTTCTATTCATGCAAGAACGCGAAGGAGTAGAATACATGTTGCTGATTGCTCCGACCCCTGCATTGGGGCTCAATTCTCGGGCTCTGTTGAGGATCTTAGGTACAGTAGTTGATAAGATTGAGGCTGCTCCTGTTTCATAGAGGTTTCGTATGAGGCTTGAGGCTTAGGGCTTAGGGTGTTTCCAAGGGCTTCCACGAGGGATTTGTAAAGGACCAGGATCGTGAGGGGGTATTTAGCAGTCAGTAAGCTTTTACACAGGCTTAAATTAAAGGGCTTTGTCAACCCTAAACCCTAAACCATCAGGGTTGTAGGGTGCTTTGTGGGGCTTAAGATTTATCAGGATTGATGCGTAGGGGAGCCGGGTTCGATGATCAGGGCTTTAGGGTTTAGGGTTTAGGGGTCTTTGGGGTTTAGAAAGAATGACAAGGTTTACAGCGTTGGTGGCTCCCAAAACCATAGTAATCTCTCTTCTGTTTGTTGAACTTTCGTTCAGTTCATATCAGACTTCTTCTTGTCTTGTCATTCTTACAGCCTGAAAAAGTCCGTAGAACCCCCAAACACTAAACCTAAACCCTATCCCTAAACCGGCTCATATGGGCAGTTGTCCAAATTCGGGTCCCTTTAATTGATCCCCAATATAGCACGGCACCCTTATAAAAAGGGTCCCTAAGAGGGGCCGTAATTTAGAGAACTACCCAAAAAGCTTTACGGCTTGATAGGCATGCTCAGGAAGGCTAGAGGGTTTAGGGTTTAGGGTTTGGGCGTTTCAGGGCTTACAGGAGGCTAGTGATTAGAATAGGTTTCTTTCACAGGTATGAATATACAAGTACTACCAGTGAATATATCAGTGCTAGCTATTCCGACCCACAGAATCCCCCCCAAGC